TGAAAACATAATCCCTTACATTGTTCATGTTCTTTACAGAACAATTATGCTTTAGCAACAGGAAAGAACGCCTCCTCTGACAAAATAGATGCCGATTTCTATAGATAATGTGAACCACAGATCTTTCTGCCTTGGCTACCAGGAAGCTCAAAATGAAATTTTGTCTCACTTACATGGATCACTTTTATTTTGAATTTCTACTATCATTATTTCCTCTGTACTTTCCTACTCCCCCCCCATTAATGTGATTCTTTTTTTATTTGTCTTTTTTTAAAATGATCCATTTCTATCCATTCTTTCGGGTGTAGCCCATCTCAAGTCCCATTTTGGGAAACAGACTAAGATATGAATCAAATAACCCCATGGGTTCATGGGGGCAGAGCCAACAGCAGGACTCTAGCTCTCCACTTGTGACACCTGCCATCGCGCCCTTGAATCGGGTGCCTTCAAGCTGTCCGTCCTGCACAGACGGGCCCAAGCAGTCTTCCTGCTGGCTTTCCCGGTGGCTGCACCGCAGACCCCGCACAGAGACATCCTGTTAAAGGACGCCCCAAGGACCCATGCTCAAGGAAACAGAAATCCCCCAGCACACAATCCAAAGGCCATCTGTTCCTTCCTCTCCACAGACCCCGAGTCTGGACTTCTGGCTGCCTTAGCAGAGTTATGGGACGGGGCCCATTTCCCCCAGCGCTGCAGACGCTGGCTGCGAAGGGACAGGAAAGGGAAGAGCAGGAAGGGACAGCCCCAGTGTGGCGCCGACTGCTGCCCTACACGCATGGCTGTGAACAGCAGCAGCAACAGCAGTAGCAGTGGTTGTAGTGAATCGCATGGGCCTCTTTGCAAGGCATCCTACATACCTCATCGCCACTCCTTACAAGAGCCCCCGGCAACATGTCTTGCTCCTGCTTTGGAGATACGTGGAGCTCTGAGCCTGCTTTCCTAAAAAGGTATGACTTGATGGAAGTTAACAGCGTCCACTTGCATGCAAAGGACTCATAAGCTGAAGTCCTTACAGACTCCTAAAGACAGCAAACGAGACCCATGCAGTATCAGTCATTCTATTAAATATAGCTACAAAAGCTCTGAAAATTTGGACAAGAATGACTTTTACCCATCCTAAGCATGTCACTTCTTGCCAATCTAAAGGGCTTTGGATGGATTGACATGATTTCATTGACAAGAAAGTCCTCCCTATAGCCTCAGATAGCAACTCCTCAACCAATCCCAGCTTGGTCACGGGAAGTAAGTGGCTGCAAGGGGTGAGGAAAAGGCTGTTCATTCACACATACCAAAGAGTAAATGAGAAACAAACACTGATGTCAACCCCAGTCTAGAAGAGCCACCTTGGTAACGAGCCGACGTGAGAAAGCACCTGCCCCCAAACACCCAAGTCAACCCTCTCGGGCTGCTGGGGCCAAAGGCCAGGCCTCCCCACCCTCTCCTGTGCACGGATGTTGAGTGTCCCTCACAAAATGCTGGCTCTTCTGTTGTTGTTTCTGGAAAACAAATGCTTCCTTCCAAGATTCCTCCTCCCAGTTAATATCTGTGCTCAGGACTCCGAGTCCCCGGACGCATTACGATGGATTTGTCCAGGTTTGAGATCTCGATTTCGTGATTTCCTCCCCATCTTCCTGGTCTCCCCGGACCCTGCTGAGTTATGATCCAAGCCTCCACCGGCCTGAAGGACACTTAACTGATCCCACGCCATGTGTCCTTCTTCCTCCACGCCCTCCCGCCACAGGATGTGGCTCTCTGCAAATGTGGTTTTTTTCGTATTTTAGTCACTTCCCAAATCCATTTAAAAAGAGAGAAATGCCACCAAGCCTGACACTAGCCCTCCACAGACTGCCTGCATTGTCCTTCGCTCTGCACACTGCTCTCTCACCCGCAGCCCTGCCCCCAGGATCAGAGTGGCAGACTAATTTTTACAAACACATGCATCCTACACAGCATGCCAAATTATACCCGCCTCGCCTGCGTGTACCACCTGGGAGAGGTCAGCCACGAGCCACTGCATTCTCTGAATATAGGGAGGACACAGGGCTGAAGCCACAGAAAGATGCCAGGACAGTCCACCTGAGTGGAGTCTGGGAACCAGAAACTTCGGGAAGAAAGTTCTTCCTGTTGTATTTGCAGACTTGTAGGATCAGTCACATGGCTTTGTCTCCCCCGACTTCCTAACCCCCGATGCTGACACACACAATCCACGCTGCGCTAACCAGTCAGCACCCAGCCACTGCTATGGTGTCTGGGGATGTGCACTGCTCTGGTCCTGGCCGGGACTGCCAGCTCCCTGAGGGCGTGGGCTGTCTGTGCACCCTCCGTGTCTCTCCCAAGTCCTTCCTGCAGTGGAGCTCCGTCTGTGCGGGCTGCCGATTTAGCCAGGAAGTTGATTGGGGGACCAAGAATTGAGACCACACGTAAAAATATTTAAATTCTTAACCACAACACTGGTTAGGAATTGGATTCTTACAACAGCCCTCTATCAAAAATGGGCAGGTATCATTATGCCCATATCATAGATGAGGAAACTGAGGCTCTGAAAGATGGAGTGACATCCCAAATCACACAGCAAGTGCAGAACCAAGGCTACAAGGCTGTGCTGCTGAGGATTCGTCCAGTAGTTCTACTGCCCTGTGCGGCCCACGTGGAGAGGGAGGAAACCAGAGCCGGCTGCTTTAGGGCATGCCCTCGCCCTGGTGGGCGCACCTGCTAACGCGAGTGCAGGTGTACCTCAGCTACAGATGGTGAGTTCCAAAGAGCTAATGGCCAGGGACACTACACCTCTGAGGGCACATATGTCATTATGCAAAATTAAGCTGTAAATGTATGAGTCTGTGAAAAAAGCAGAGACCAGAGGGAGCAGAGGCAGAGGATGAGTCTGGGAATGAGGAGGGGAAGGTGGCAGAGAAACGAGAGGTGGAGGCGTGGCAGGGTGTGCAAAGGACAGACAGGGAAGCTCGCACAAGGCACCGGGAGAGAGAAGAGAAGGAAAAGCCTGGGAGAGAAAGGAGAAAGGGAAGCAGAGCACAGAAGATTGGCAGGTGAGGGAGGGTGGAAGGAAGACACACAGGTTTCTCACTAAAAGGACCATCCCTCGGGACTGAAACACCAGCGTGGGCATTAGAGTTTTGCTCACCTCCTTCCCAAGGATCAGCAGCAAAGATTAAAACATAGAAAACAAGATACAAATAGAATGAGGTTACAAGAATGTTGGATACTCAGATAACCCAGAGAGAAAAGAGAAGAAAGTGTTGGAGTGAGAAGGAGCACAGAGGAAAGAGAGGGAAAGGGTTGGCCAGGTCAGGACCCCACCAGTAGAAGCTGAAGCCTCCACCCAAAACTGAGACTTGGGCCCTGTTGCCAGGAGACCTGGAGAACATCAGCAGGGGACGAGGAGGGCCTGCACCTGAGGGTGGCAGTACCAAGCATGAGAGGACTACAGTAGTAGACAGGACACAGCGGCACAACTGAACAGGGAAGATCACAGTGTGGGCCCTGTGAAACCAGGGGCTTCAGGCATGGGCTCCCCCAAAGCCACCTTTCATTGGCAAAGCATCTGTAAGTAATATTTATATCTGTGTTTGTTCGTTGTTTAATAAGCCTTTGTCCACCTGCCATGGAGTTACTGTCCATCTTAATATTAATAAATCTGCGAGAACAGAGCCCATAGACTCTATTCTTCTTGAGTGAGGGAGTCATGATGGCACCACTCACATGCTGGTATCTGAGGAGTGATTTTTGATGGCGACAACAGGTCTGTTGGTAGTGAAGATGGTGTCAGCACAGCCAGCAACATAAGCCAAAACGGTCTTGCTGACTGTGGCGATGCTACCGCCAGCGGGTGTGGTGATGAGAAGACAGGAGAAGACAACTGATAACAGTGGTAGCACAGAAGGCAAGGGATACGGGGAAATGGTGGGGAGGGCGGAAATTATGATAAGGTACTTGCAATGATCAAGATTGATCTCTGAAAAGGTAGGTCACTGCTTGCACAACTACACCATGGATGTGTGTGTGCTCATGTATGGGGGAGAGAGAGAGAGAGACACAGGCAGAGACAGAGAGAGAGACAGAGAGAGAGATCACCCACAGATAACCCATGTTTAAACTAGAATACTGTCTGCCCCAGGACCCTCCCTACAAGACATCTCAGATGGTCAAAGTCAATAACCACTCCTTTCCCCTAAAATACCTAATAAGGATGGGGAATCTGTGAGCACATGCCTCTTTTTTATTTGGAGCTACTTGCTAGATTTTATTATGCAAAGAGACATGTCACCTAGGAATTCCCTAGGTAGATTTTTAAATTATATAGAGACTATCTTGAATGAATACTACCTCAACATCATCTAAACTGTGTGGTTATCAACTCAGATGTGCATCAGAACTTCCCCGGGATCTTTTTTTTTTCACAACACGGTTGTAGAATCTCATTTCATAGCAACCAATCCAATCAAAATCCCAGAGGTGGGAAACTAGCATGAACATTTTGAAAATACTTCCCAGATTATTTTAACCAACTCACATGATTAAAACCTTCTATTTTACAGAAGAGATCAGTGAACCCCACCATGGCACAATATTTAATGGTGGAATAGGAATCTTCATAGGAAGTTTGGTCTATTTTCCCCATAAGCAACTGACGCAATCGGCATAGCTTACTGCCAGCTCACATTGTTATATTCATTCTAAAGAAATGCCTGGCAATATTAGGACCCCAAGAAGAGGGAGAAAGGGGGTGTAACAGAAAAATGAAGACACCAGATGGACACTGCTTGGGTTCTCAGGGAGCACAATTCAGGTGGTGCTCAGAGGAGGAAGGCTCTCTCTCCCCGCCCACTCCAGCTCTTCCCTGCCCCACCCACATCATGGGTCCCTGGGGAGGCCAGTGTGATTTCAATCCCGTGGAACCCACATCCCACCTGGCCCTATTCCCAAACTGTTTGCATGCATCCAGCCCTCAGGAGGCCCAGAACCCAGGAGAAACATGCTCATACTTTCTTGGTGGGAACTTTGATCTTCAAGAATTCTGCCTCTCGGGCCAGCACCTGCCATGGGGCATGTATCCGGACGAAGATGGAGCCCTGGCTTTTATTCTGCAAGGCACAAAGAAAGAAAAAATGGAAACACTTGTGAGGACATAGCTTAAATTCCTGGCTCCCCAGCTCTCCCAGACTAGAAGCCTGGACCTTCAGTTTCCGGATTTTGTTCTCTTTAAACTTCACCAGGGACCAGGCCACTCCCACTCATAGCCAGTTCATTACCTCTCTTCCAGAAATGCCCTCACCAAAAACCGTAGGGCAGTTGTTCCCAAAGTGTGGTCCCTTAGAAGTTTGGTATGGCTTCACAGAAAAAAAAAAAAGAGTTAAAATAATTTTGTTCACAGATTTCAAATGTAATCACTATGATGCTCACAGAAATCCCATTACTTTCAATCACAGTTGGTCAGCGTTCCTCTGCTAGCATGCCATGAGTAGCCTGCAACTTGTGTCCATTCACATGTTTTCATCATTTATTGTTCAAGTTTGCATTCTACTACTGTGCTGTGTTATAGACCCACATCACAAAAGTGGCACACCTAAGCCTAAAAGTAATGACATAATAGTGCAAACAATACAACACAAAATAATATCATAAACATAAATCATGAACGGGGCTCCAGTGTGAATATAGAACATGAATCTATGTCCCAGGACAAGTGACTGTGTTGCATGTTGATTTCACCCAAAAATGAAAAGTAATCATGAGTATTTGAAAATTAGCTTTTATCAACTCAGCGACTCATTTGGCCCTGGTGACCATTATAAATATTTGTCAGATTATGAAAGGGAGCCAGCCTCATCTCCAAATAAAAGCTCCCTTTTTTTTTTGTCAGAGCAAGCACACACAGGGAAGAAAAACACTTTCTGATATTAATTTAATTGATTTAATTAATTCAATTTGATTTTTCATTGAAAAATGAAAGAGGACCAAAACGAAGTAGGAAAAACTGATGAAAGTCCCACTATTGCCAAGACACTTCTAAAACTACCTGCAAAATTAATCACAACCATTGTGTTTAAACCTCTTCACTGTGTTCAAAAAGAAAGTGGGACAAGCTGATAGCACAATACTTCATCAAATATTCCCTCTCATTTGGTTCCGTGTTGAAGACACCAGTGAAAACCATCAACTCACAGCCTGGCCAGGGAGCCGGCAGAGAAATGGATGGCAAGTGGAGAACATTTTCCCCACTGAAGGTGCTCACATGTGTCTTTGAAATGATGAATTTTGAAAAGATATTTTATGGTGCTCACAATGCAAATGAAGACTATTTCTATGATTTTTCAATGGCAGCTTTACAATATCTTCAGTAATTCACACGTCCAGAACCTAACCCCACTTTGGGGATGAAAGCTCATGATTTTTAAGGTGGAAGAAGGAAGAATAAACCAGGATTTCATAAGAATATTGAACTGGGGTACAAAAGGCTTGGATAGGCTAGAGTTTTCAAATTCCTAAAAATAATAAAAATAACCACAATGCATATCTATTGAATGTGTATTATGTGCCAGAACTGAGCTAGGTAGTCACATGCTTTGGCTCACACAATATTCACAACTGCGCTTTAAGGTGGGTACTATCTGTCTCTATTCTACAATCGAGGAAACCAAGGCAGGGGAAATTTAAATGATTTTTCCCAAAGTTACACAGAGTGTGATAAAAACCATTTTCAAACCCAGACAGTTTTTGTTCCACCTGATGGCTTTCCTGTCTCGTGGGAGACAGATGTGACCTGTCACTGGGCATAGTTAAGAACCACAGGGCTGGAACAGAACACAAAAGACATGTTTTTTAGGCTAAAATCAAGTCCCAGGGTCAATAAGGAATCTATGTGGCAGCCCTAAGGTGCGACACTCAACCTTCCATCTTCCCAGTGCGGCACGGATCTGGTAAAACACTGCAAGTGGCCTTCGGTGGGAAACCGGGGGCCCAATTTCCACACCCACCTTTGGCTGCAATATCCAGGACTACCAGACAGGGTCATCGATCACTTGCTGCTGCTGTTACTGTAACTTAAGCTTTTCCAATTTAGTGAAAATGAAGGGTAAGGAAAGAAACCATCTGTGGAAGCTGGCCTGCGAGCCCGGGTCTCCCCACCGCCCGGAAATGACGTTTCTGGTGAAAGATGGCGCACGGTATCATCCCCCTCACTAAGATGAGGTCGTGACTGTTACCAATGTTAACATGTCATCCTTTGTGTGTATTTTTCAATCGCGATGGATGTCTTTTTAACTTTCCCTAGAGTTGGTGGCTCGAGTGTGTACCAAATGTCAGTTAAGTGGGTGCAGATGTTCTAAGTTTGAGGAAGGGTTGGAGGGCAAAGGTCAAATTCCAAGGCCTCGGTGGCAGACTGCTAGCTGTCCCCTGACAGCCATTCTCATGCTCTTCATTTTTAACTAGGCACATGGCCATCCAGAATCAAGACCACATCTCCTTTGCAGTGAGGCATTTCCACAGTGGGAATTTCTGGCCAATGTCCCAGTGTCTGGTAACCTTCTCCAAACACAGCAAGCAGGTGTCCTTTGTCCCTTCGTTTTCTTCCGTCCCCCTAATCTGCTGCCTGGAACATGGATACAAGCATTTTAGACCTTGAGGTCAAAGTCCAAACCAGAAACAGCCATGAGTCCACACAGAAGCTGGGACTGACTGTGGGACGTCATAGCAGCCCTAGGCTGCCTCTTGGATTTTTATGAGAAAGATAAAATTCTACCTTGTGTAACTATTGTGATTTTAGAGGCTCCATCAATTGCAGCCTACCTTATACTAACTAATGCAAAATTGTTTCCCAATACGGGGACATTAATTTTTTCCAGCAAAGCATGCTGCTTCTCCATTTCCTCCTCAAATGGAACTTGTTTTGAATGAAAATAAAAGCAGGAATGCAGTTTTGTGGTAGTAACATCAAGCCATCATGTTCCTTTCATCCCAGGCAATACTGTTACCTTCTCATAAAAAGAAAAACATATCAGCTTATGTGAAATATTAGCTGGTGTGACTAGTTATGTCTCCCAAAGAAAAAAGAAATCGTTGACAAGCCCTGAGCAAACCATTACCAAATGCAGAAGCTCTTTTTACTAAACTAGGAATCTAATGTTGGAGGTTAACATGTATCGAGTTTAACATGTATTGAGGGCTAGGATTACAGGCAGGTGCAGTGGCTCACTTTGGGAGGCAGAGGTGGAAGGATGGCTTGGGGCCAGGAGTTTGAGACCAGCCTGAGCAACATAACAAGACCCTTTACAAAAAATAGAAAAATTATCCAGTAGGAGTGGCGTATGCATGTAGTCTCAGCTACTAGGGAGGCTAAAGCAGGAGGATCACTTGAGCTCAGGAGTTCAAGGTTACAGTGAGATATGACAATGCCACTACACTCCAGCCCAGGCAAGAGAGCAAAAACTTATTAAAAAAAAAAAATTTCCTTTTCCTCTATTTCCATTCGACATCCATTCAGCCCTGCTTTTGTATTTGGATTATTTCAGGTATAGTAACAGAATGGAAAAGAGCTTGGGCCTTCCCAGTCAAAAAATTTAAGATTTGAATCCTGAGTTATTTATTATGAGTACTGCTGCAATAGAAACGGGGATGGAGGTGTCCCTTTTGATATGGTTTGGATGTTTGGTGTCTCCAAATCTCATGTTGAAATTTGATCCCCGGTGTTGGAGGGGAGATCTGGTGGGAAACGTTTGGGTCCTGGAAGCAGATCCCTCAGGAACGGCTTGGTGTGCTCCCCACCACAGTGAGTGAGTTCTCCTTTACTAGTTCATTGAGAGCTGGTTTTTAAAGGAGCTGAGTACCACCTCCTCTCTCTCTTATTCCTTCTCTCACCATGTACCACACCTGCTCTTCCTCTGCTATCCACCTCGACTAGAAGCTTCCTGAAACCCCCACAGAAGTGGATGCTGGCACCATGTTTCTTGTACAGTCTACACAACCATGAGTCAAATAAAACTCTTTTCTTTATAAATTACCTAGCCTCAGGTATTTCCTTTACAGCAATGTAAAACAGACTAATATACCTTTGATATGCTGATTTCCTTTCCTTTGGATAAATACTCAGTAGTGGGATTGCTGAATCATATGGTAGTTCTATTTTTAGTTTTTTAAGAACCTCCATTGTGTTTTCCAAAGTGGCTGTACTAGTTTATCATATATTCCCACCAACAGTGTACAAGAGTTCCTTTTTCCCTGCATCCTCATCAGCATGTTATTTTTTGTCTTTTTGATAATCATCATTCTAACCAGGGTAAGATGATATCTCACTGCAGTTTTGATCTGTATGTTTCTGATGATTAGCAATTTGAGCATTTTTTCATGTACCTGTTGGCCATTTGTATGTCTTCTTTTGAGAAATGTCTATTCAGATCCTTTGCCTACTTTTTAATTGGATTATTTGGTTTTTTGCTGTTGAAGAGTCAACCTAAATGTCCACTAACAGATGAATGGACAAAGAAAGTACAGTCTACATACACAATGGAATAGTACTCAGCCATAAACAAAGAATGAAATCCTGTCATTCACAGCAACATGGATAAACCTGGAAGACATGATGTTCAGTGAAATAAGCCAGGGACAGAAAGATCAGTACTACATGTTCTCCATGTTCTCACTCATATGTGAAAGCTGAAAAGAATCTGAGCTCATGGAAGTAGAGAGTAGGATTGTGGATATCAGAGGCCGGGAAGAATGGGAGGAAGGGTGGGGAGAGGCTGTTAACTGATACACACTCACAGCTAGAATGGGTTCTGGTTTCTGCAGCAATCTAGGGTGAATAAGGTTAACTACAATTTAGTGCATATTTTCGAACAGCTAAAAAGAGGATTTTGAAAGTTCACAACACAGAGTAATGATACACAGTTAAGGTGCTGGATATGCTAATTACCCTGATTGGATCATTGCACATGGTATACACATATCAAAATATCACACTGTATCCCATAAATATGTACATTATCTGTCAACTAAAAATAAATGGGAAAAACATTTATGACAGCATCTGATAATAGCAAAATACTGAAAACAACCAAAATAGATTATGGAATATGATTAGAACAGGGAAAAATTATCTAGTTGTATAAATTGCCTCATAGTTTAGAGAGTCAAATAGAATCAGACTGCCACAGTGCCAGTCAACACCCCGTGCTGACAGCTCAAGGCAGAGCTGGCTTAGGGGTACAGGGGGATTTCAGAAGAGCGAATGGATTTGGCCACACGACTCTGGAGCTGGAGAGACCGAGACCTCCAAGCACTCCTGTCTTTCTCCAGTAACCACTGAAGGCCTGGCGCCCAGGAGGCTGAGTCCCCTGGGTGTGGACATACAGCTCAGTAGTAGCAGGGCCAGGAATGGAACCCAGGTCTCCTGGCACCAGGGTCCGTCCCACACCCCCCACGAGGGACACCGCACTTCCCTGGGACTGCCAGCCCATCCCCAGCAACCCTGCAACCCCTCCCTCCACAGGAGAGTCGGTAAGTGGGGGATGGAGGAACGGGGCAGGGGCAGGGGTCTTTCCAGTGCTTCAGCCACTGCTGCCCGAGGCCCTCTGCAGGGACCGAAGGCCACACACTGGGTCAAATTATCCTTGTTGTTTATGTCTCCTTGTTCTTGTTATTGTGATCCAAAGATTGCATGTGGCTTCGCAAGGCCACGTCCTCCCTCTAGAGAGACAAGAAGGAATGGGAGGCAGTCCCGGCCAAACCGCAGAAACCGATACTTCTCAAGCCTCCTCCCCAAAGTCCTGCCAGGCCACCTCAGCGCAACCCGGAGGCCCGAGTGCTCTGGTCCCGGGCCCTGCTGTGAGCCGAGAACATCAGCTGCAGCACACCGTGGCCGGGAGTGGGGCTGCGAGGGAGGGCGGGGAGAGGAACGTGCAGGCGGTAGAGGGGCAGGGGACAGACTTCCTTAGACTCCCTGAAGATACCACCAGCCTTGGTCATCTCGCATCACCAAGGCCAAAGGCATGTGGTCCCACAGTGAGGGTGAGAGAGGGCCCTGGGGAGCCCACACTCTCAGACCATCATGGTTGATGCCCACACGGCTGGAGGAGATCGTCCAGGGCATGCGGAGATGGTGGCCAGGGCAGCCGTTGTCACAGACTAAGGAGTGTGGCGAGTACCCTTGAGACAGAGGGCTTTGGAAATGAGAGCAGGGGTTCTTCTGAGACTGGCCTCCCGACTGCTCCGTCTGAGGAACCCAGGGTCTCCCTGTGTCGTCATTAAGATCAGAGCCTCAAGTTCACTTTGGCTTTCGGGAACTTCCAACCCATGGTCAGGGAGCAGGCTCTGCCTGCCCCCCCCCCCCCAGACACTGTGACTTGGAGCACAGGGAGGAACTTCCTGAGTAGAGAAGAAAGATGGAAACTTGCTCTCCTAGGAGCCCTGGATGAGAGCAAGGGAACCTCCTCTCCAGCCCTGTCCTCTGCAGCCGAGGGGAGGATGGCCAATGGTCAGCAGAGGCAGAGGGCAGGACCAGTGCCCAGTGAGCCTGTCCCAGAGACCCGCAGCATGGCCCTTCTCATGGAGGCTTCACCTAAGCCCCAACCAAAGGCTGGGGACGACCCAGCCAGGCTGCTATGGAAATGAACACTCAACCACTCTTGTCATATTTCCAGGTGCCAACTCGGGCAGGCACCCAAAGAGATGACCTCCGGACCCATCAGCACAGTCGCTGATCTGTGTATGGTGCGTCTCTGCACTCCAGACAGGGCCCGGGGACCACTGCCCAAAGCCAGGGGAAGGTGAAGCAGTGAGAGGAACCCAGGAACATGGGGAGGCAGACGCCCCAACACACCAAAGGTGAGAGAATTTCCTCCCTGTCCGATCTCTGAGCTGCAGAGGCCCCCAAGAGCAGCACAGCAGCGTCAAAGGACCGGCACATGGAGAGTCAGCAACAGAGCGCCACTAAGTCTTCCCTCAGCTTCATGCTGCTGCAAAAACCCCACAACTGGAAGAAATAAGGACTAATCTTCACCATGTAGGACAGGTCATGGGAGGCCGTGGGTACCAGGGTCTCAGGACCTGGCCTGGGGCACCATTCCTGACAAGCCACCAAAGCTCTCTGAGACTAGGACGCAATGCTGAAATAACTGTAATAATAATAATACCACTTGGAGGAGAGAAAGACAGACTTTACAGAAGGGCCCGGGGAAATGTTTGGGGCTGTAGACGTGTTCATTACCTTGGTTACGGTGATGGCTTCACAGGTGCATGCATATGTCAGAACTCAACAGATTAGGGACTTTAAATACATGCAGTTTATTATACATCAACCATACCACAATAAAGCTGGGGGAAAAGATATGCAAAAA